GTAGATATATACGTGGGTACAAGTGACTTTTGACATTAGATCGAATGAATAGTCACCGTTGATCACGGACAACTAATTGATCTCTAATCTTAGATCTTGAATCGTGCAGGACACCCTCTATTTCTCTTCATCCGAACTTTGACTTTTCTTATTTTATTTTATTTTTTTTTTTGTTCTAAGAGTACAAATTATTGCAAGCTTCGTATCGCCTTGACCCGACATGCACCCAACTGTTAGCAATAATTTTTCTCCTTTTCTTTTCTTTTCTTTCTTAAATGTTCGTTCGGTTATATAGCGCTATCAAAGTGCAATAAACCTACTGTGCCTTTAAGTTTCCCCTCCCCCAACCTCTCACCCCCCACTCCCTCCCCTTACCTTTGGGAAATGAAAAATATAGAAAGAGTAAGGTCGAGAATGGCACGATCGTGTGTGAAGGTGAGGGTGAGGGTGAGGGAAGGGGGCAAAACGTTTAAAATTGTTTTTAACGAAAGCACGTTACGTATACACTGGTAAAACGTCTTGTAATAATAGTCGTCATAAATCGTTATAGCTATATGAATGTAAATGTGCGTTGTTTATTGGTTTAGTTGAACGATAGCTTCATATTTTTTTTATTTTTTTTTTTTTTTTTTAGAACAAATATAGATCGGTTTATCTATCGATCAATTTTGAACGAATAATTTGATAATAGTCATATAATTTAAAATAAATGTATATAGAGTTGATTAATAATTGTAGTAAGGAATGATTTATATTAGGGTTATAGAAAAGTAATCTTAAATAAGGTTCAATAAATTATTTAATAAGTTTAAACAAAGTAATCTTAAATACATGAAAATATAAAGTATTTCATATGTTTATTTAAATTTAGTTTATTTTTTTATTATTATTATTTTTTTCTAATTATTATTTAAATTTTGGTTTACATTTTAAGTAAGTAATCTTAAATAAATTTATATTTAAATTTAGTTTATTTATTTTTTACTTTTTAATTTATTATTATTTAAATTTTGGTTTACATTTTAAATAAGTAATCTTAAATAAATTTATACTTAAATTTAATTTATTTATTTATTATTTTTTAATTTATTATTACTTAAATTTTAGTTTACGTTTGTTTCGAAATTTGACCAAATTTATTGGTAAAAGTATTTTTGTTTCTGTTTTTATTTTCAAATTAAATTTAAATACAAAAACAAATAGTATTAATTTTCCATAAAGGTGTATTATACCATAGAAAATTTGTAAATTAAATTACACACAAAATAAAAATATTGTTACACTATTGTTTTTCCCTTATTAAAGTAAACTTTAATACAATTTTTAACTTTAACAAATCATACGTTCGAGAATACAACGAATTTCGTTCGATTTGACATAGTTGATGTTTAAAAATTCGCAAAAGGGTTTTTCTGTAAAAGATGAGTGGGGTTTTTTTACTGTTTTTTTTTTTTAAACGCGTGGAGTTAATAAAAAAAAAAAAGGAAAAACAAAAGATCGATCAATGTACCGATACCTGTAACCGGTCGTAACGATTTAACGTTCCATTTCGATATAATTTACGACGACGGCCTATCCTCGAAGCTATAACAAAGTCATCCGATCGAATCATCTTTTAAAAGTATCTATCTCTCTCTCTCTCTCTTTCTCTTTTCCTCTCTCTTTCGTGAAGATTAATTCGTCGAAGAAACGCGATCGTATCGAGAAAGACCGTAACATCCTCCTACCGCCATAAACACCAAAGAAAAAGTTACCTTTCGTTATTTGTTCCATTAGTTTTATTTTTATTTTTATTTTTTTATTTTATTTTTTTTTTTTTACATTTAAGATAAAGGAACAATATTTTTTAATCCTTTTATTTGTTCTCAAAAACAAAACCCACCCACCCAACTCCCATTCCTTTTTTATTCGTTACTACTTCCTTTGTGCACGATTATTTTTATGGTGTTCATAACCAATCAACGTTTAAGATAAAAGAATAATATATATTTTTTTTTAATTTTATTTTTCTTCCAAAACAAAACCCACCCACCCAACTCCTATCCCTTTTTTTCTTGTTTTTTTTTTTTTTTTTTATGCTCCATTATTTCTTATGGTGTTTTTTTGTTCTTCAGAATAACTCATTGCTTTAAATTTAATATTAATTTATTTTGTATTATTATTTTTAAATTTATGATTATTGAAATTTTAGTTTACGTTTGATTCGAAATTTGATCAGATTTATTTTAGTAAAGTATTTTTTATTTTTATTTTTTATTTTTAAATTAAATTTAACTAAATAAACAAATTTATTAACATTAATAAATATATTATTGTATTTAAATTAATTTTACAAAATTTAATTAATTATTTATATAATAATATAAATTAAATTATTCTCTATTATCATTAGGGATAATAGGTCCTTAGGGTCCCTAGAGGGATAATAAGTTCCCAGGAATTAAATATAAATTATTTCTATTAATATATATATATATTTATTAAATTTAACTAAAGAACCAATTCTTGGTTTGATTATTCATACGGTGTTAATTCAATAAGACAACCACACACAACTACCATAGATTCATCCTATTATTAATCATATAAGATCGGAATCAATTCAATGCATCCATGGTGAATGAGTTCAAAGCACTCGCAAAGTGATTCGAGTGGAATTAAAAGCGTTCAATGTCGGTAGATGTTTTTGCGTTCTTACGTTAGTAGTCCCTTACCGATTTGTAGTGCGAAGAAGAAGAAGAAGAAGAAGAAGAAGAAGAAGAAGAAGAAGAAGGGAATGGGGGTTGGGTGGGGGTGGAAAAGGGATG